CTCTTGGAACCACTAGAGAGCCTGTGTTTTGGGAACGAAGTGATCTACTTGGATAATAAGGTGTTATCAGCTCTTTGATATATGAGGGGGCGTGATTGTTGAGGGCTTTAAAAGTGAGGAGCAGGATCTTAAATTCTATCAGACCAGAAATACCCCGGGATGTTTTCACTGTAGGCAGAGTGTGTGTGTGAGAGAGAGAGAGTGTGGCTGCTGCTGACCTCTAGTGGTCAGACCAGGGACAGAGAGTTATGATACATCAGTAAACAGGATGTTGAAGAAACAGACATGAAGCTGACGTGTCTCTGATGTTTGACTAAAACAGCTGAGATCAAATCTGTGAATCTGCACAAAACACCTGAGTCTGTTGTTTAAACCACAAAGAACAAAAAACACCGGAGTCAATTCTAGAAAAGACTTTTCTGCTTCCAGAGTTTATTCTGGAAGAATAAATCACATATTTCTGACATATCAACATGATGTGGAACAAACTCTGTTCTTTGTTACTCTAAATTATTTCAGACGTGTTTCAAAACTTCAGTCTATAAATATCAGGACTTTGGAAAAAGGGAAGTGAAATGAATGAGTTGTCCATCTGTCGTCTGTCTGTCGCCCGTCTGTCGTCTGTCTGTCATCCATCAGTCTGAAACACAACAACATGCTGTCGCTGCTTCTCCACATGTTCACCTGCATCTGTGTCCTCACAGGTGAGTGTCAGTCTGATTCACAGGTGTCCATCATTGTTTACAGTTTGAGTTTGATTACAGCAGCACCTGGTGGACATTGGACTAAATGCAGCTTGTGGAATGTAATTTCATACACACACACACACATACATTGTTATAACACGTGTGTGTGTTTCTTTTAGCACCGGCCTGTGTGTCGCCTGTCACCACGGAGACAGTGGTGGGCATAGCCGGGCGGAGGGTGATGCTGCCGTGTCGGTCGGAGGCAGTGAAGCAGAGCGGTGTGGAGGTGTGCTGGGGGAGGGGGGAGCCGTCACTGTTCACCTGCCACAACATTTTGATCAACACGGCCGGAGACAACGTCTCATACAGGAAGTCGTACAGGTGAACAGGGTTGTCATGATGAAAACAACTATCACTGAACTAAATCCTTGATTACGATACTAATTTATTTTTGTAATCAGACAGAAGTTACATTACATTAAATTACATGTAATCCATTACTACCCTGTGTATTAACTCAGATGCTCCTCAAGGAAGTATTCTGGAGCCCAGTGTGTTTCCTGTTTCCTCACCCTCTCCCCCTCTTCAGGTACTCTCTGTCCTCCACCTCCTCTCTGTCCATCTTCCCCTCTCGTCCATCAGACTCTGGTTTCTATCACTGCAGAGTTCAGCTGCCCGGTCTGTTCAATGACCAAACTGCCACCATTCTCCTCATCATCATCAGCCGTATGTTCACTTATTCACCATCAGTTCATCCGTTAGTTTCACCATGACAACCAGAATCTGCTCATCTCCCGTCTGTCGTTCTGCAGCTCGCTCTACGGTCTCTGACGACGAGGACGCCGAGGACCTGAACGCACCACACACTGCCACCGGTAAGTATGGGTCTGACACTGATGCTGGTTAAGCTACAGGAGCCCTGAGTGGACACAAAGGTGTCCACTTCCTCCCACTGTACGAGGAGATAAAATATCCACGCTGCCATCTTGTGTTGATGACATCATTTGGATTCAGAGGCTGTGTCTGAAATCACCCACTTATTTATTATTACCATTGTCGGATTATGACGTCGTACAACGTCGGACAGTAGAAAACCTGACAGTTTATTTTACAGTTAGTAGTGAGTGATTTCGGACACAGTCAGAGTCTCTGCAGTGGTGATCATGGAGCGGAGCCGCAGTATCAATGTCCCGCCCATACACACATTCAACCAATCAGGAGTAAGTCCAAAAAAAACATCTTTGGTTTGGTCCATGTCCCGTCTGCTACCACGGAGGACGAGGAGTTTATGACATTTACTGCAGCCAGCCACCAGGGGGCGATCCATATTATTTTGTTGCTGTTGTCCTTCTTCATCCATTGTCTTTGGTCAGTGTGTTCTGGCTCTGAGCTGCCCTCTAGTGGTCAATGTCAGTACAGGGGCAGAAGCGGCACAATGACATAATCAACATTTCAATCAACTTCTCTCTGAAACTGAAAACACACGAGTGAAACATCGTTGACTGTTTGTTTGTTTGTTTGTTTGTTTGTTTGTTTGTTTGTTTGTTTTCACCTGTTTCCCAGGTGACACAATACGATGCCTGACAGAAGAACGACGAAGTGATGTCACCAACCCCACAGAGCCAATGGTGGCGCTGGTTCAGGTACTAACCAGCAAGACGATTATTTTCATCGTCCGTGTGTCCAGAATGATTTTCTTTAACCATCAGAGGTTCCTGTTGATATATCGTTCAATGTATTCATTAAAAAAGACAAACAACAGACGTCAAGGTCTCAGGTCTCTCAGAAGAGTCAACATGTTTGTTGGTTTGTTGACAGTCACATGCTCAGCAGCCGGTGGACAGTTTGCAGACGTTCATTGGAAACACACTGAGACTGTCCTTCATCATCTTCATCCCCATGTTGCTGCTGACTGCTGCCTACAGTCAGTACCCCCCCCACACACACACTCACACACACATGACCATAACATGATCAGGATAAACGTGTTGCTTCATCATTTCACGTGTGTGCAGGAGTGTGGAGGTGGAGCCAGAGACCAGAAACTGACAGGGGGCTCAACCAATCAGAGGAGGAGGAGGGACACACCTCAGTGTAGACACAAGCAGTGTTTGTGTGGTTACCTGAGTTACCTGAGTTTTCAGGCAGGATTCTGCAGAGAGTTGTGTTACGTCTTTGTGGTTGTTTTGTTTCTTTGTTGTGTTGTTTTGTGGTTGGTTAAATTCACACTCTTCATGTTCGTATGAATATATTGAATCTTCTATGTCTGTTGGTAAACTCATGTATAACAAGTAGAAACTGTGTTTTCAGTGATTCAAACACCAGGGGGCGCTTTAAACCCTGAAATAAAGACCATGTGCAGCAGCGTCCTGTGTCATCATTAATCAATTACGTGATCCTCCAGTTTCACAGCGGTAACACTGTCTGAACAGCAGGGGGAGACACTGTCCACAGAACTGTTGTTGCCTGTCTGCTTCAGCGGGAGTAAACTCTTCTAGTTCACCTGTGACTTTACCTGAAAATGAACATCTGATCTATAGAATAATAATAATAACAATAGTAGTGATATAATAAAATGCTGCTGCTGTTGTTGTGAACATTAAAGTCTCTGTTGTTGCTGTTTATCTATTTAAAAGTTCCAATAATCTCTGTCTGTAGAACACATATGTTAAGAACTTCTAGACCGTTTCCTGGCTTGATATGGTGAACCCGGGTGGAACCAGGTGGAACCGGGTGGAACCGGGTGGAACCCAGGACACACGTTGATATCTGCTGTAGTTTGTTTTTCAGACGCTGAAGTCGAGCAACAGAGACGGATCTGAAGCGGTTACAACGCAAAAATACTCAGTTTCTGGGAGGCAAGTTACATCCGTACTGGTTTCGAATTAAATATATATTTTCTATTTTCTCTTGTCCTCGTGAGCTTGTGGTTTGGATGAGGGAAGTCTTGAACACATGGGCTCAGGGCAGACTGAACCAATGAAACATCAGCTTCATGACTTGACTTCTGACAACACATGCAAACGTTTAATTTTTTACAGTGTGGAGTTCAGTGTTCTCAGGAAATGAAACTCTGAGTCCGAGCTGCGCCGACAGGAAGCAGCATGTGTCAAATGTCACCACCAGTAAATAAGGTGCTGTCCACAACACATTTGTCCTACTGTTCAAATTACAACATGAAGTAGTGAGGTGAAGAGTGATGCTACTAGCTGTTAAAGATGCCACGACATTGGATGGAAACATTTGTAAACATCATGCCTGGTTCTAGTGTCTGAGAAGGGACATCCTGACTCCAGGCCAACAGCACTGACCTGTCACATAATGAAGGTCATGGAGAGACTGGTCCGAGCACACCTCAGCCCACCAGTGTCCTCATCACAAGACCCCCCACAGTTTGCAAATCAGTCCTGTGTCGGTGTGGACGGTGCAATAATATGTCTGCTGCAGAAGTCATACTCCTCCCTGGACAGACCCAACACTGCAGTCCAGATCATGTTCATCGAGTTCTCCAGCGACTTCAATACCTTCCAACCCAAACCGCTAAAGGTGAAATTGGAGGACATGCAAGTGGATGCTCCCCTGGTCACACGGATCGATAGCCACCTGACGGGCAGACCACAGTTTGACACTGCAAAGCTTTGTGTCTGATTCCCCCGGGCAACTGTGCTATATCTCCCTTCCTCTTCACAACCTACACTGCAGACCTCAGACGAGTCATCTACAGAAATGTTCTCATGACACAACCATAGTGGCGTGTGGACAGGAGCATGAGTACAGAGACCCGGTTGATCTATTTGCGACTTTGTGCGCAGAATCAATAAGCTCCAACCTTCTCCAGTCTGCATCAGAGGGACTGATGTGGAGACAGTCCCATCGTAGAAGTACCTGGACATGAAACTTCTTCATCACCCCAACAGGTCCCGGCAGAGGCCGTCCACACAGAGCCCGGTTCTGCCGGAGGTTTCTTCCACCTGGGAGTTTTTCCTCCCCGCTGTTGCTCATGCTTGTTCGGAGTGGAACAAGTTGGATTTTGTGTTTCTTAAGATCCTGGACTTTTGTGCAGCACCCTGAGACAAGTGTTTGTTGTGATACCGTGCTATATCAATCCATTTGATTGATTGATTGATTGAAACTGGATGATAAGCTGGAATGAGCTCTACTTCCTGAGGAGGCTCAGGTCCTTCAATGTCTGTTTTCAACTCTGGAGACTGAACCTGTGAGTAAGGAATAAAGTTTAGTTAGTTGGTTGGTGCGCTAGTTAACTGGTTAGTGAGTGAGTTAGTTAGATAGTTAGTTAGTTAGATAGATGGACAAGACAATTTCTCTTCTCCTCTAGTTTATTTTCATATGACTGTGTTGACCTAAAGGAGGAAACGTTTTACAGTGTGTGTGCAGCTGTGGTGACTCACAGCAGTTGTGTGTTTAAATGTGTGTGTTAGTGTGCGATGCTGCTTTGCCATCATGAAGCTGCTGCTGCTGCTCGCTGTGCTCTCAGGTACGTGTGTTTTCACACCTTCATCAGTCTCCGGTCGATCAGCTGTCTGGTTTTAGTTCATGTCATTTATTTGTAAAATCTTTTCTCCTCTGACAGTTTGACTCAGTTTTCTTCTTCGTGTTGATGGGTTTTCATCATTATGTGTATGTTTGTTATCATGATGTCACAGTGATGAAAGTAGAGACTTCTCCCTCATATTTCAATACGATAAATCCAACATCAGCCGACAATGAACCACGAGATGCAGTTTTTATTTGTATCTTCACCACAAACACAGAGACACTGTTTTCAGATATGAACTTAAAAGTACAGTGTGTAGAATTTAGTGACATCTAGTGGTGAAGTGTCATATTGCAGCTGAAAGTATTAAAATACTTTATATTTAAATATAAAGTATTTTAATATAAAGGGTCTTTTCTGGGGTAAAGAAAACTACAATTCATACAATTTAGATGAAACGAACTCGTGAAAACATCGTGAGGATGATTCTGATAATAGAAGATTTCTGTCAATAGATCCGTTCACCTGAATCTTACTCACTGGAGCTTTAAGTCCATGTTTCTTGAAGTGTTCTGCACATTTTCCTGCAAAACATCTGGAACCTTCTCAGTGAGTGGGCGTGTCTCTGAGGTTTCCAACACGTGACGGACGTGAAACTGCAGAACACAAATGTCTCAGGATGAAGAAGAGGAGCCGCACACGTAGAAGACGAAGACGTCCACGTGGAAAGACGAGGAGGTTCCAGATGTTTTGGTGATGAGGGCCGACGCCGTGTGGACGAGCTGTAAACAACACTGAATAATTTAGACGTTAGTCCCGCCTCCTGCTGCTCTACAGGCTCCGCCCCTCACCTGAATGCCCCCACATGTTCCTGTTGTTGTGAACGAGTCGACGATCACACACACTGACTACACAACATGACTACACAACATGACTACACAACATGACCACACAACACGACTACACAACATGACCACACAACATGACTACACAACATGACTACACAACATTTTACACAGTTCGTGTCTGAAAGAAACTAATGTAAACTGCCCCAAAGAGTAAATTCCGTCTATGTTTGTGTCCTCAGTTGGTGAAGGTGACAACAGTGCCAGAGTTGCAGGCCGAGCAGGTGACAACGTCACTCTGTCCTGTCACTACAACGTGACGACTAACGGGTTTCTGTCAGTTTGCTGGAATCGAGGAACGTTATCAGCATTTAAGTGCAACAATCCGCTCATCGCTGTAGACAAGCTGAGGGTGAGAGAGGGCAGCAGAGTGTCCAGCAGGTATCAGCTGCTGGGACAGCTGCACCAGGGGAATGTGTCCCTGACCATTCTGAATGTCACAGAGACAGACACTGGACCATACGGCTGCAGAGTTGACATCCCCGGCTGGTTCAACGATGACAAACACCACTTTGATTTGACTGTTGACTCAGGTGAGACAGGAACCTCAGGGGTGGGGCGTGCAGCATTAATTGGTCGAGGACATCATCGTTTTTATTTCAGTCATACAAAATCTGTTTCTTTACTTCAAGTAGTTTATTTCGGGTGTTTTGAATAAACTTTGTTACTTCGTCTCTTTTCTGATCGACGGCAGCTAGATGTGAATCTCTTCCATGTTTACTATAGTCCTTTACATTACGCCACCTGGAGGACGGGGGTGGAACAGCTCAGTAGCCGTCAGTTGTTCATGCATCAGCCAAACATTCCTCTGATCTTTATGTGATTCCAAAGTGGTTAAGGTCTGAAACAACCTTTTACAAGTCTACCGACTGATCACGATGTCACATGATATTACGATACAAAGGTTTTTCTGGAGCTTCAGACCAGGAGGGGATCTTCCCTTCCACCAAACATTATAACACACTCGAGGAAAGAGACAGTGATGCTTCATGTTGTGTGTTGATGTTTCAGCTCCACAGACGACCACATCAGGGAACTCAGAGACGTCAACAATGCAGACTTCATACACACACACTGCAGGTCCTCCAACACACACACACACACACACACACACACACACCAAGGTTATTATAGTTTTGAAATTTTCATTAGTTTTTAGTTTTTTTTAGTTTTTTTAATTCAGTTTAGTTTCAGTTTAGTGTTTATTTAGTTGTAGTCTTAGTTTTAGTTTTTCCAGGTATTAAGAGAAAGCCTTGACTTGTAGAAGCTGAAACAGGATGAAACAGGACAGGCAGTAATCGAGGGAGAAAATGAAGCTGAATTTATCTGCAATTCAGTTTAGTTTTAGTTAGTTTTGCATTGTTCATTGCAGTTTTTATTTCGTTTTTCGTTTTTTTTTGTAAGTTTTTATTTTTATTTCAGTTAACTAAATTATTTTTTCATTGCTAGTTTTGGTTTTATTCTTAGCTTTCGTTAACTATAATAACCCTGACACACACACACACACACTGAATGATGGAGCCTCATCGTCTGCTTTCATTTCCTCGTCCCACAGGTCACATGAACGCCACAGAAACCGTCCTGAGTTCCACCTTTAGCAGCATCATCAGAGTGAGAAATAATGATTAACTTTTGATGCTAAGGCTAAAATTATTATTGCACAAGAAATTCAGCGTGTGTGTCTGTGTGTCTGTGTGTGTGTGTGTGTGTGTTACAGCAGCATGAAAGCAGCAGTTTGACTGTGGCTGTGGTGTATGTCTTGTTCGGGTTGATAGTTTCAACCACAGCGAGCGGAGCCGCCATACTCGGTAAGTTCAGTCCGTAAGGCATTCCTCGCCTCAGTGATCGGCTCATTGACGTCAGCCCTGCGCTCAGTCGACCATGATGGACGTGACAGAGTCACATGACATTAAAATGTATTAACAGCAGAATTTAATAAACAATTTCCTCCAGTCAGATGATTTTATTACTTTTGAAGAATCTCCACATTATCAGTTTGAGAGAGATAAAGAAAATGAAATAAATAATCAATATGAATGTGAATAGATTTGTGTCTGGAGTTCAGATTTAAAGCATCAATGCTAGAACAGTGTTTCTTCTTCAGGGTTGTGTAACAAAGACTTCCTGTTGTTTCTGCTGATTTTGTTACAGTGAGAAAATGGATGGGACTCCACAAAGTGTAAGTTTCATTATTAGACTGAAATTGAGAAACACATTTGAACTTTTCTTTTCCTGTCCTGGAAATTGCGCTGTAATACAAATGGTTGGTGCTTCTCTCTGTTGTAAACGTCAGCAGTTTGACCTCAGGGTGGGGAACATTTTAATTTCGCAATCCACGTAACCACTGCACCGCCTCAGTCATTTCAGCATTGTCTTCACAACATTCAGCACAGTGGTGTTTGTCAAACTGAAACTCAGAGACGAGAGGAAACCATTAGGCAGAGATCTTTTTTCTTTTTCTGATGCTTTGAATTAAAACCATGTTAAAGGAGAAATATCCTGTTTGTGTTCAGGTTGATTATTTTAATTGGCTTTATGACTGTAAAATGTTTTCATGCTCTAATGTTCAGAAAACACTTCCTTCAGATTGTCCATTGCTGCAGCTCCTTTCTTCAGCCTCCGTCTCAAACACTTGGATTTAGCCGAACTGAAAAAAGGCACAACAAGAACAAATTTAACAAAATGTCAGAATTCAGAACTATCTGAAAATATCTGAAATACTGTGCCCCAATTGAGAGGCAGCCTCCATCAGAGGACAGTGTCTACACAGCACATAGAGGAGATGGTCTCAGTGAGACAAGTGGACTATGAAGATCAAACCGAAATAGACATTCTCGTCTACAAAGGATTTCCGACATCTGTCGCAAGCTTGTCCCACCGTTGCATCATTAGCTACTTTAAGTGGCTTGTTAGCTTCGGCATGCAATGAATCCTGGGATCCGTTGACCCGAGAAGGCTCCACCTGTCGGATGTTTCGTTGTTCAGGAATGGTAGACCTTATTTCTTGGCTGCATTTGAAGGAGCCTTTAAAATGAGACTGTGATGTAATCAGTTTATTACGCAGCCTGCGAAGGTGACACCTGAAATGAGACACAACAACTCAAGTGTATACAACATCCCAACTCAACTTTCAAACTCTAGTGGAAATCCCTAGAATTTCTACATGTTTACATTAGCTGTTAGCTCACTGATGCTGTTCCAACCAGTCTTTGATAATATCATCAGGACATTTTGGTGAAATAATAATGTAAAGCTACTTTTTCTTTGTCTCTCAGGCGTCAGCAGCAGCAGCTCAACGGTTCTGTACAGTTCAGTCTGTCCGGGCTGCAGAGCCAAAGTCGAGAGTCTGTGGTCGACAACATTTATGAGAGAGAAGAAGACGTCAACACAGTTGTGTACGAGTCGTGCCCCTGAAATGTGAAGCCCACTGACCTGCCTGGGGTCAAGTCAACAGACGGACGGACAGAATGTGAACGCAGCATCAGAGAGCATTATGGACATGGACATTCCAGAGCTGTGATGTCACAGTGCTGGACATTTTGTTGAAGGATAGCAACAACATACAAGGCTCATGGGTAATGAGGTGTTGAAAATGAGCGTCAGTGTCTTTACATGATTTCTTGTATTTATCAGATTGTTAATAAAAGTTACAGTTTATCAGAAGGTGACTCGATTAATGACACGATGACGTTGACTCTCGAGAGTTTAACTGTTTAACTGTTCCCACACTAATGAAAGTCAGTTCCAGCAGTTTGTTTCTACTTGTACATAAATAACTTGTTACATGCTCTGATGCTCCGTGTAGAGACAGTCACTGATCTTCTGTAGAGTCAGGATCAGAATTCATTATTGTCTCAAGATTGAGAAATTAACAACATCGCAACAGCAACATAATCAACAAACATGAATAATGAAGAATATAGAGTAAAGATAAGTTAAA